TGTGCCGTGTCTAGGTGAGTTCTGTACACATGAATGGGAAAGGTAGAGAGAGGGGCCAGCCCCAGGTGAGATCTGCGAGCTCAAATAGCACTTCTAGTCCTAGACAGACTTGCTGCCAAGGGAGAGGCTGAGAGGCTGTCAGGGCAGATGGTCAGTGGATATGGACTTTGGGATTATTATAAAGCCAGTCCCACCATCAGCCTGGATGTTTCCTGAGAAACTTAGTTCAGCAAAGCATAGCTTAGGTGTTCCAGTTGTACATACTTTTGCTCACAGAGATGCTGTGGCCTGGCTAATACAATAGCAGTTTAGAGAATAAAAGCTCTTGATAAGCATTAATTACTCTTGGCAATAAGGTCATTGTTATTAACCCCATTGTATGTGTGGGTCACATTTGTGGTTGGTGGAGTCCCAGTCAGCTGCCTGGCTCCCCTAGGATGGTTCCAGCTTATGGTAGTAGTGATTTCATCTACGTGTTTTAACTAAAGTCACTAAGAGACTGAGGATTGTCAGACTGATACTGGGAATTCTGCTCCTGATTGTGATTCTAAACCCCAAACCCACTTTCACTGGTGAATCTCATGTTCAGAGGAAGAAATTTTGCACAGAGACAAGCCTTGAATATAAAAGCTCCCTTTTGGTCATTGTGAAAACTCAACAAATTTACTATCTCATTTGCATGTGACTGACTGGGTTCAACTGATTATTGAATAAAAGGTATGTCCAATTTGACCCTTGATTTCATTGTGGCCTATTGCCTGGCAAGAAATACTTCCTTTTCCAGTGTGACATTCTGTTGTTAATCAAATGAAAGCTATTCATGTCTTCCATTCAGTTGGCAGATTTAAGCCACAGAAAACTGCTTTGTAAATTATAAACCAGCCAACCCAAAGTCGTTACATAAATGGGGAAAATGTTATGTTTTGCTGGCTTTCACATAGACGAGAGGCTGGAGATTTGCCTCCTGGTTTCACAAGGCAGCAGGCAAAACCAGTGACTCCAGCTCCAAACAGGATTCTCAGGGTTTAGGCAATGTTTTATCTTTTCTTGATTCTGAAGCACCAGATGTTCATGAGGGAGGGAGCAGGGAATCCCACTCTGTAACCCTGTTACCTAATTCACGTTGTTACTGTTAGAGATCTTAGGGACATCCATACATCATCTTTCTACATTAGTGAGAGACACCATGCCAGGAAAGAAAGATGCTGGAAATACAAAAGGAGGGGATGAAGGAGTGGGGAGGAGCATGCTCCCAGAGGCCTGAAGCTGTCTGCTTTCCAAACAAACAAAAACCCCCAAACAGCAAGTGGCTGCTTGGAGGCATGTAAGACAAGTTCACAGATGAGTGCCTCTGTAGGCGATGTAGCTTAATCCTTTAAAAGGGCAGTTGTATTGTACTCCGGAAGGATGCTAGATGGTACAGACTCACAGTCCCCAACAAAAAGGGAGTTAATGGCCTCAAACAGCCTCATGCCGGGGTTGTGAATGACAGCACTCTGGTTTTAAAAGGCAGAACGTACAGTATTAGAATCATAAAAGAATACACACATTTGGCATTAAAAGGATGGCATAAATATTTCAAAATGGCTCCTGAGTTTTAGACAGGGAACACTGTAAAACAATCTCTTCATCTTTACAAGAAAATACATGCTCATCAAGAAACTCCTGCATTGGGGAAAAGTTGATTTCCTTGCAGTGGTAGAGCCCCAAAGCCTTAGAAGCAATTTTTCATCATTTTGTTAATTTTCACTAATATGACAAGTATGCTCCTAATATGATTGTTCTGTTTAAAAACTAATACCACTATTAATATGTTACAGTGATGAATTGCTAACAATAATCTATCACGAAGGAAAAACAGTGACATAATTAATTCAGTGTTACTATTGTGCAACAGCAATTTGTTAACTCGGTGCAAAGCACTCAAAGAAAACTTTATGTTTCATGTTTCCTGCCGTAATTGCTTTTACCCACATTTCCTCACAAAAAAGAAACTCAGCACCTGAGTCTTTTCTTTTTGATCCAGTTCTTAGCATATTCTTAGACTGACAACTTTAATCCCAGCCTTATTTTAGGATCTAGATTTATCATATTTGGCAACAGACCTTTACTGCTGGTTTTTAAGATCTTTTTTTTGCTACTCCCTTGTACAACAGTGCAGCTTGTAACATAGCTCTCACATTGCAACCATTTTATGACTAGGGGATACATTGTCATACTGCATTGATTAAAATACTTCCAGTCCACACATCACTGTGCTTTTCTACATGCACATTTCAAATGCAAATCTCAGAGAAGGTAAACTAATACAGAAAACAGCTTTGCAAAGGAAGAAGTTCCTTTAACCCTCAAATGAGAAGAACGGAGGAAAATGTGCATATTCCCTTTATTTTAGCTTTTTTTCTGTGATTTTAAAGTCCTGCAACATTCTCTCAAACTTTGTCTGAAAAACAGCTTTTTACAGTGCCCGATTCCAGAAGGAGATGCTACATACACTAGATCATAAAGACACTCAGTAGGAGCTTATTACTACAGGTCATTGCACACTTTCTTCTGTGACCCCTATGTCACAACCCATCCCTGTCCTTACATCCTCATTCAGACCGGTAAGCAGTCCTCTCCTTAAGATCCACAACCCTTTCCAGAGCAGGCAACAAGCCATCTGCTGACTCCACAGGTAAGAGGTGCAGTTAGCATTGACTCAGTGGTGATCCACTGCATTTTGGACTCCTTGCTTTCCAGACAGGGACTGCCATTTATTCCACTTTTCAACAGTACGATGGGCTTCTCTACCCTTTTTTCTCATTACATGTTACTGTGATACAATAGCTAATTATAAAAGAAATCATTAACAGCTCTGTAAAGCAAAAGGAAATACCATCATGCTGGTCTGGTATGAGTCTCCGTCACTTTCCACAGCTGTGAATGACTGTCTGAGAAGCAAGAGGATGGGAAATCCTGGCCAGTCTGCCTGGTGACATGCTGTCTCTAACCAGCAGTTACTGAAAGGCTACAGGGTCTATCACAGCATCCTCTTTATCACATATCTCTATGCTGAGATAGAAAATATGATCTTGGTTACATTGATTTAATATTACCAGTAGCTCTGCCATGTTCTAGTGTGCTGGGTATTTTAGGGAAAAAGTTGTGTAATAAAAACCCTGAAGCGGACCAAACTTTGACTTGGTAGAAACATTTCCGGAGCAATTACTCAGCTGGACTTACACAATGGAATTCATGTTAGATGAAGTACTGCATTTGGGTTTCAAACTGGTGAATAGAGAAGGGAAATGTAAGCTGTCCAATGTAAACTAGTTTAATCAAAATCTGCTGTCATTCTGTCTTTATAGCTGTGGAGGCCAACGTGCCACTGCCTGAATAGTCCCAAGAATTAATAACCCAAAATAAACAAATTGGTGTGAAACTTATTTTCCAAAGCATAAGAAAGACTTTTGCCCTCTTTAAGATCACATGAAAATTGGTTTCAGTGAGCCGTATCTTAGAATGCAATAAAAATATCCTTGTGCATCCACAATGCTTCACTTTCACAAAGTTTCACGCTGAAATTACTAATCTTAAAAGGATTCTAAAGCAACACCTTTCTAAAGTCACGTCTCAAATGCTCTAGCATGTCCCTTTGCAAAGGGAGTGGAATGAAGACAAGATCTGAAGCAGTACAGCAGGATGCCACCATTTGGAACCACAGCAGAATTATTTCTAGCTTCCTTCTCATTTAAATTAAAAAAAAAAATCTCCAGAGCTGAGTATGGATTAAATATAGTAATTCAAATCTGGCTGAGAAGCTGCGAACTTTGATGCCAAGTTCCAGCCTGAAACGAATTTAAATGGCCACAAGTATAAATTCTGCAAAGGGGAGATCGCAATGAAATCCTGGCAAGAAACCAAACTGGAATCATCAGCAAATAGCATAACCTTTAAGAGGGAAGAGGAGAAAGCAAAAACTAGGAAATATTCTCAAACTTCTGTTTAAAAGAAGAAGAAAAACGTCAGAGAGCAGGGCTGGGGTCACTGCGAGAGTCTGAGCCATGGTGTTCGGTTTGGTGGATGAAATACAGAGGCATGTCAAGCTCTAAGGGGTGGCCTGAGAGCTACCAAGCTGCTCAGAGCCACCCCAAGGCCTACCTGTGATGCCTCTGCTCTGCCTAATGGCCAGGACCCAGCCAGCTTCCCAGTGTCTTATGGAAAAATAGTTTACAAATAGCTGTGCAGTGCTGAAATGGGAACTTGTAACACAAGCCTGTATTAGTACAGACTGAGCGAGTGCATGCCTGTGTAATATAGCTGTATACTTCATTATTTGTACTCACTGTACATAGAGATCCTTATCCCGAGAGCTAACAATGGCTTCACAAGGGATTAGTGGGACTTAGTGAAGGTTTGGGGGTCCAAATTGCTGAATAAGGACCTCTGCCAAGGCAGACACAATAGTTGGGGTCTTGCACAATAATGTGCAAGTCATTGTTTTATTTTCAAAGCAGAGTCTGTGGCTATCTAATAGTGATCGTTGTTGTACTAACAGTCTCAGGGGAAGAAGTATTGGGAACCTGTTTGCTGATTGGCATGCTGTCAACCAGCATGTTATCTTCGCTGGAGAACAGGGGAAGTAAATCACCTGATTTTTCTATATAATGATTTTTTATATTGTCTTTTTGGTATTGCTCTTGCTACACATCAGCAGCAAAGATAACTCTTGAGATGCTGCACATTTTGTAGCATTGAAGACCTCCTAGAAACGAATGATGGGTTAGTAAATAGTGAGGAGAGAGCAAGAGGCAGGGCTCTTCCTTCATACACAAGTAACAAAATACAAGTCAGGGAGAATTTCTGAGACTTTGATGCAATTCTTGAGTGATGTGGTGCCAACAATTCCCTGTAGGAGATGTGGGGCACCGTGTCCTTCCTGGGTGGCTGTGTGACTCACCTTCTGCATCCTGTGATGTGGTGGGACCAGTCGGAAAGGGGAGTCATAGACCCTGATGTGCATTGAAGTCTCTTTCGGGTAGTACCGACATAAGAAATACTCTGTATTCCTTAACGGAGAAACTCACTGCCAAAGCAGGAATGCAAGTGAAACGTTGTAGCCACACTAACAGTTCCTGTGAATTTCCCAGAGCAAAACTCTATCTGTAGATCCTGATGGGGAATTCCCTCCCGACAGCAGTACCAGGTAACAGTACCAAGCTTGCTTTCATGCCGAGCTTAAATTCTCAGGAAACAAAGACAAGAAACTTCGATCTGGAAGTTTCTGTCTCCCCCCGCAGCACTCTGTTGCCTTCCCGCTGCAGCGGGCGATGCGGTTGGAATACCCTGCGTTTGCCAGGAAAGCGCAGTGCAGGGGGAGGCGGCGTTGCCCCCGCTGCCCCGGTTCCCGGTGCCAGCCCCGACGGCCCCGGCAGCGGGAGCCTCGGTGGCAGCGAAGAGGAAAAACGCAACCCCTAAACGAGCGGGAATAACTTCCTCTCCTGAATGCCTCCCATCGCCCCCCTTTCAACCCCCGTATTTATTTATACATAAACATATAGACATAAATATTTGTAAACCAGGCAGTTGCGAAATGCAGCTATTAAATAACCTTTTTTTTTCTTATATAAAGAAAAAACAACACCCCAACACCCCACACAAGCCATAATGATGATGATGATGATGACGGGAGGGGGGGAAATAAATAAATAAAAGCGAGCGAGAGTCGGCGACGGAGCGGGAGGCAGGTTCAATTATCTAAACAAAGAAATCATGGCGGAGTGTTTACATTTGGCAGCCCAAAGCCTGTTGGATTACGGACCCCCCCCAAAACCCAACCGGCCCCCCCCGGCTCCCCGCCGTCTCGGCTCGCCGGAGCCCGCCCGCCGACACCTCGCCGCGGCCCGGGTAAGTGAGGAGCTTGCTGCGGCCGGACCCGGGCGGGCGGTGGGGCGGGGGCCGAGCCGGCTCCCCCCGCCCGGTGCTGTGCGTGTCTCTGTGTGTGTGTGTGTGTGTGCGTGTGTCTGTGTGTGTCGCGGGGGGGGGGCACACGCCGCCGCGCTGCCCCCGAGCTCGCCGCGCCCCTCTCGCAGCGCCGGGCAGGGGCAGCCCGGCCCCGTCCCCATCCCCGTCCCCGCGGCCGCGGTGCCGCCTCCCCGCCCCGGGGTCACGGCGCCCGGCGCTGACTGGCGGCTCCGCCCCCGCGGCCAGCCCCGCCGCGCCCCCCGCCCGCCCGCCCGCCGCCGCGGTGCCCTGCCGGGTGCCCGGCGGGAGGGGCTCATCCCGGCCCGCCGGGGGGGGGCGTGTGTGTGTGTGTGTGTGTGTGTGTATGTGTATGTGTTGGCTCTGCCGCTGCCCCCTGCCCGGGCGCAGGGCTCCGCTCCTGGGGGGCAGCGGCCCCGAAATGGGCCGTGGGGGGGATGGTGGGGGAGGGCAGCGTGCGGTGTCCGAGAGCCGCACCGCAGAGACAGCGTGGGGACCAGAGGAGGCGGTCGGGAGCTGGCGGCAGCACCCAGACCCGCTCCCCAAACAGCCTCACGCACAAACGCTGTGGCCGCCGAATGCCCTTGAACCCAAGTGCCCTCTCCTCCAAATGCTCTTACCCCCAAGCGCCCTCAGCCCCAAACACCCTCACCTATAAGGGTCCTTGCTTCCAAAAGCCCTTGCTCCGGAACATCCTTGTCTCCTATGCTTTTGTTCCAGTCTCCCTCACTTGTAAATATCTTGCTTTCAAACAGCTTCACCCACAAACAGCATCACCCCCAATCTTCCTTGCACCGATACCTGCTCTCTCCTCAACACTTCACCCTCCTAAACCTATTGCCCCCAGCCTCCCTCAACCAAGTACGGGCTTTAGCTGCTCTTGGTATTCCTCAGAACTGTGCCCCCCACCCTACAGTGGGCCCTATGAAACAGCCAGAAGGGTGCCTGCGTCCTTCCCGCTGCCAAGAAGCAGCCCCCAGACTGCAGACCTGACGCTGGGTCCCCTAAGGCCACTGCTGTGAAGTGTGGAAATAACCCTTTCAAGCGAATTGCAAGTGTTGCTCCCACATGTCCATCAAAAGGTCCCCTGGCCCCAGACACGTATCAGTTCTAGAAAGCTGTAAAACTACTTTGGCATCTCTGCCCTCCTGGATCTGGGTAACAGGCATTGCCCTAGCCCCGGTTGTGTGATACAAGTACATGTGCTGTGTGTCCAGTTGCAGGGCACTTATCCCCGCGTGAGAGTGTTTGGGAGGTTGGGACATGGCAACATGCATGGGTTGCTCCTGAGTTTTGCAGGCTGTTTGTCAAGGCAGAGGCTGGGAGCAGAAGGGCTCCAAATGGCCACTGTGATTGTAGGATGTAGGGGCTGGGAAGGACAAGTGGCTGGGTCCAGGCTTTTCCTCACACTGTGCTGAATCTCTGTGTATTTCTGGGGCTGTGCTCCCTCGTGTCCCAAGTTCCGAGTGCATTGAGCTATGTGAGATTGAGAGGGGTAGAAAAGATGCATCTTTATTTGTCTTCAGTGTGCTTGACTTAGAAAGTTTGTGGAGGTCAAATTCACGAGGAAAGAATGCTTGGTATTGTGGAGTTATGAGGCGCTGGATTGGAAAAGGGTGTTGGGACTCTCTGCGTTTGGGACATTCACTTCTCATGCTTGTCTGTGCCCCTTCCCAGGGCAGTGGGTTTTACAGTTGTGTATTGTTGTGATGTTGAGAAGCTGCGCTCATGTCGGTATGGTGGTGGTAGTGGTGGTATACTGGAACAACGAGGAGAACAGAAATGTGGAGATGCACACCGGTGCTACTGTGGGTGTGCTTGTACAGGATGGTGGGTCTAACCCTCCAGTGCCACTGGGTGGGAGCACACAGTGCACCAAGGGGGACTATCATTGTGGCCCACAAAGCCATAGCTGTTGCACAAGGTCCGTGTCTGCCTGCAAACCCTTGGTGGCTGTCTTGCGTTACCCTGTTGTGGTGGCAAGTTGCATGACAGAGTTACGGGTTAGCACTGTTACACCAGAGTCCAGAGGAGGCAACGAAGATTGGAGATGCTGCAAGGGCTGGACCAGCTCTGCTCTGGGGACAGGCTGAGAGAGCTGGGCTGGTTCAGCCTGGAGAAGAGAAGGCTCCTGAAGGGGAGACCTGAGAGCAGCTCCAGTGCCTAAAGGGGCTACAAGAAACCTGGAGAGGGACTTTGAACAAGGTCATGTAGGGACTGTGGCTGCCCCATCCCTGGCAGTGTTCAAGGCCAGGTTGGATGGCACTTGGAGCAAGCTGCTCTAGTGGAAGGTGGAACCCATGAACCCATGGCAGTGGGTTGGAACCGGATGAGCTTTACAGTCCCTTCCAACTCTAACCATTCTATGAATAATGTTTTCATTGCTCAGAAGGTCATTGCTCAAAACCTCTGGTTTCCTTTCCTCTCTTTATTCCCTCTTCCCCGCAGCTACATTCCTCTATGTCTACATTTAAGCCAGTTTGTACATTCTGTGGATAAAAGGCCTGTTTAGGAAATTCCCCATGCACTTCGATTTTTTGCCACTTTACTTCCTGCTTGAACTGGCAGTTCCGAGAGTCTCTGAAGGTCTGAGGCTGTTTTCTCAGGGAAAGCTCTTAATTTAAGTGGCCTGTTAACTGTTAATTGCTGTTCTGTTCTGGCTATTTACTTGAATATCATGTCAAGCCTGCTGTTCTGGTCTGGAGGCTACACTGGTTATCTGCCCTGATCTCTAGACTGCTACTGCTTTCTGCTTTGTTATTGAAGACCAAGGTAATATTTATATTCTTAATGCGAACTGACATTTCCTTAGATTTAAGGGTTTTGTTGAGCAAGGTGTCCCGCTGGAAACTGCTTGTACAATAATCTCAATTTGATGTCTGGTTAAAAAAAGGCTTCCCTTAGATTTAATGCTCAAAGAATTTTGCTGTTTCTGATTCTTCAGTGGGGATGTGTTTAGAGGAGAAAACCACTTAACCCTGGGCAGAACAATGAGGACTCGATGGGTAGGCAGTTAACAGAGTTAGGTAGGAACTCCTGCTTATCAAACTACAAACACTGGTATGTCCAGTGCAAGCAAAGCCTGAACTTCTAATGTATGCTCACCAGGCTGATAGGAAGTTTGGGGAAGGCCATGTTATCTCCAGGGCTGTCTGGAGATCTCTGCAGTTAATGCAGCACTGGCAGTGCCAGTGAAATTCCACCCCTAGAAACAATATCTTTCAGTTCCTGTATTTAGTGCAGTTCAGTTCTGTTTTCTGGTAACTAACTTTATAAAATCAGTGCCACATTTTGGCTGTTTGACTGGAATAGTCACACAGAATTGATAAAAAAAATGCTGGCAAAATGAATATAATTTGTCTCAGACTGAAGAGAGCTTTAATGGGGCCAGTTCCCTTTTGGTGAGTGCAGTGTTTTGATTAATGAGAGTTCATTCGGGTATTGAGAGAAGAAGAGACCTCTCAAATGATGCTGGATCTGTTTCCCCTGTATGTAATAGAATGAAACTCTCAGCCTGTCGCTGGACAGGAAGATATTCTGACATGAATATATATTTTGGAGCTCTGCACAAAATGAGGATTTCATGCATAGGCAGCACAGTGTGACAAGTCATATCCTGTATGACCTTGTGCTTACAGGATAAAGTTGTGTAATAATATATTCTGCTAAATTAATACACAAAATAAATAGAACATACCTCATTTTTATGCTAATAATGATATTTTTCAATTCTAAGAACCTTTTATGCTAAGACCTCAAAGTAAATTACAGGTAGGAATAAACCAAGCTTCACAACACCATTGTGTATTTTAGTACTATCATTCAGAGACTAGTTGGAAGGTATCTTTATTAATTGCTGTTATTTAATTTCTTTTCATTAGTCCAACAGTTTTTACTGTTCTCTCTCCTAATACGTTAACAATGAAATATGATATTATAAAGCGAAAGAAAAGAAATCTTTTTATTCAGCCCCAAGAATGGACAGATCTGTCAAGGCTAAGAGGAAATATAATACTGACTTTGATTCCTCAAGGAATTAGCAGAGGTTTTGCCAGTAGGATGTATTTTATGTGGCTGCAACATAGAGTGAATTTGGGATCACTGTGGTGTGTGGTCCATCCTGTGATGTAACCAGAGGTGAAAGGCTGATGAGACTTTACAAAGAGGGAACAAAAGAAACCTCAATTGTTTTGTTTAATTTGGATCACAAAGGATAGGATTTCCAAAAGTCCTGATTTACTGACCTTAATGTCAGTGGTAAAAATACCATTTACTCCAGGGGGAGCAGCTTCAGACTCCTGAGGTGTGCTTTTGCTATCCTGTCCATTATGTTTGTAGTAGACTGTGAGTTGTATCTTGCCTTCCTGATGTGCCAGCATGTGTTTCTTATAAACTTCAGGACAGGATTTGGTGCTCTGTCTGGGGAGATGAAGTAGCAGTTCTGGGATAGGAATCCAGCTTGTGATTTTCTCCAGTAGCTTCTTCTCCATCGATGTCAGGAAGTGGCATAGTTGGTTAGTGCAGAATTTACTCTAACTTATTAATGCATATTTACAACCTTAATTCCAGTTTAACAGAATGTTTTGTGGTAGAACATTTACAGAAAGAGCATGTGGAAAAATTATCACTGCATGTATTAAGCTCAAAGAAAGCATCCCTATACTGCTGTGTAGGAGGAACTGACAAAACAGAACACATTACAAGGAACTATCTTTTTCATTAAGGCTGCACAAAATGAGGATTTAACGCATGGGCAGCACAGGCAGTCCCAGTGGTTCAGTGCCCATAATCCCACCTTGAAAATGGCTTCACAGTAGTAATTACTGCTCCAAAATGGACACTGCTTCCAATTTTGGCATGTCTACTTCACACATAACTAACTGCACGTACAAAAGGCAAGATCTTCTTTTACCAGCCACCTAGTT